TGAGGGCGTTTTCGTACGCGTTTGGCCAATCAATGTCTACTTGCGTCGCGATTAGTACCAGTTGTGCTGGTTAGACCCTGCTCCGGAGTAGGAGCTAATTTGGTTCTCGAAAAAGGCAGTCCGGTACTAAAATCGCACCCAGTTCCGGCGGTGCGAAAACGCCAAAAAGTGGGTAGTGCCACAATTAGTTCTGGTACTATGAAAAGGTTCCCGCGGTGCGAAAGGCCCTATTATGTCCACAAAAAAAAAACATGGTAAAACATGGTACTTTTGTAAGTGTCTAATTCATTCTGTTTTAATCATGAAACTTTGATCTATCCTATGGTGTCACAAAATTACCATATTCATATACTATGAAATTAAATAATATTCCAAATTATTTCAAACTCTATTACCATGGTACCCTGTTCCAGAAAAGGAAAAAACAAAAAGGCACTATTGTATATTGTCTCGGCAAAATTGATTTTGAATAGTCAACAGCAACATTCTGTGGTCAAATATTGATTTTTCCTAGATGTTTTATCTTTTTTATATTTCCTACATAGTTATCTCTGGTATAACTATTTTTTTATTCTCATATTCACTACAGTTTAAAAGAGTTTTTTTAAATTATATTATTATATTATATAATTATTTTTTAGATACTTTTATTCAGCAAGGATGCTTGAATTGATCAAAAGTGACAGTAAAGGCAGTTATGATGTTAGAAAAGATTTATTTCACTGTTTCCACTAACAGATTTAATATAGCACATTAAACATTGCTTAAACATTGATAATAATAATAAGAAGAAATGTTTCCTGGTCACCAAATGAGCATATTAAAATTATTTTTTATTTTTTAGTCATTACCCCAATCTTCAGTGTGCAAAAAAATAATTTTAATATGCTCATTTGGTGTTCAGGAAACATTTCTGAAAACTCAGCTTTGTCACCACAGGAATAAATGACATTTCAAAATACATTCAAATAGAAAACCGCTATTTTAAATAGCAATAATATTTCATAATAAATAAATTTTTTAATACAGTAATGCAGCCTTGGTGAGCATAAGAAACTTCTTTCAAAAACATTTTAAAATGTTACCGACCCCAAATGTTTAAACTCAAATCTATTTTTCACGTGTATTTATTTATTTATTTTCCAAGATACAGAAAAAAGGAAAAAGTGTGATAATTTCATGTGGCTAATTTTGTAAAAATGACCAATATGCCTCACGTATTACTTTTCATATTTTTACCATACCAAATATGTGAGATGTTTGTTCTGAAATAAGGAAAACAGCTCAATTCATCTTTCAGCAGAGTGTTCATTCATCCCAGACTCAGCAGGAAGTGATCTATACATAAATAATAAATGAAAAATAGACATACCTTTCCGATCTCATCTTTCAGCTTGTACTGGTTGAGCTGCACGCAGTCCTTTTGAAATAAAGAAACACATGATATCGATCAATGACACTAAGGTCTTCTTTAAGGAATTGTAGTCACTACTTGTGGCCAAAGATCACAGCAAATACTAACTTGATTCTCTCATCAAGAATGATGCTTGTAACATTCCAGGTTCAAAGAATCAAAAGCATTAGCAGAAGAAAAGCTACAAGGTTTTTGAGCCAGGTTTATTATAGTTAACTAAAACAAAATAAATGTTAATTAAAATAAAATATTAAAAAACTTGATTTCAGCTAGTTGCCAAGGCATCATTTCTCATTTTCGTTTAGCTTAATTTGAAGTACTAAAATAACTAAAACGAAATAAACTGAAACAAATAAATACAAATTAATAAAAACTATTTAGACCAAAAAAAAAACACAATAAAAATGACAAAAAATACACTACAAAATTACTAAAACAGTGAAAACAGAAGATATATACAAAAGTATCAAATTCAAAATATTAACAAAAACTATAATAGTATATCAATGATACTGAAATAACACTGACTTGAGCCCAGAAAGGTACACGAGCTAAAGCTACACACATTTCTCGCTGATTTCATGTCCTAATGGAAAAGCAGAAGCATCTATAGGGGAACTTTCTCTTGACAAGCGCCATTAAGAGGAAGGTTACCTTACATACCCTCTCAAGCTTGCAGACTTGAAGCCAGTGCAGAGAATGAAGAAAAGGAAATGTTCTTCTCAAAGACAATATCAGTTCTCACACAAGCAGCTCAAATTAACTCAGGGCACAGCATCACATTGTCTAGTTTTTGGTGGTGTAATTATATAAGCTTACATAATTGTTAGGCACAATGTTAACCATTGTGTTGTTCAGATAGTTGGATTGTGTTAAAATAGATGATGTTGTGTTTTACACCTTCCAGACATTGCCCACCTCTAATATAGAGATCACAAAGATCACAATTTCTATATTTTATAAATTATCTTATAATATATTTAGTATATAATATGTAATATTTAATATCTAAATATACATGAATTTACATTACTAATTAATTCAATGTTAAATACTATATAAATAATAAAAACATATTTTTATTAAAAAACTGCAACATTAGAGTTGAGCATAATTAGAAAAAAATCAGTTTTTCCCCCATGACATTTACAAGCCTACATTATTTAAAATATAGAGACGCATTAATTGATATGAATGATTTAAATGTTAAATAAATAATATATTTTTAAAAATATATTCAACATTTTTTAGCATAATTACAAACTTTTCTGTATTTTATATTCTTGACATTTACAAGGCTTCAGGCCACTATTACAAGCCTACATCATTTAAAATATAGTGTATAATGTGAATTTTATATCAAACAATATATTTATTATACAATATTTACTGTCTATATTTAATATGTAAATAACAACTAATTGCTATTAATAATTAAGATATTGAATATTATATAAATAATAAAAATATACTTTTACAAATATGTCACATTTTAGAGTTCAAATATTTTATACTGATACAAGCATTTTATAATGTAAATTTTATATTACACAAAATATTTATTATAAACTATTTACTGTCTATATATTAAATATGTAAATAATAATTAATTGCTATTGATAATTTAGATATTAAATTTTACATTAATAATAAACATATCTTAATTATTTATAAATTAAATAATAATATTTATATTTATATTAATTCTATATTTTATTTCCAGCCTACAAGCCATTTTACAAGCCTACATCATTTAAAATATAGTGATCACAAAAAGCAGTTTCTAGCCCCAAAGCTTTATCATGTATATTTTTTTATTTTAATATTTAGATTTAATGTGTAATTATGAATTAATTTAAATTAATAATTTAGATAATACATATTATATAAATTAAAAAAAAAATGGCATAACAAAAATGTTTACATTTCATTTAAATATAATATAATTAATTAATGGATTTATGTAAGGGACTTCCCTACTCTTACAAACACACCTGCCATTACCTCCGGCCACCTACCTGCAGGTCTGTGATGGAGACACGATGAGACTCCACGGTTGGTCTTCGAGGGAGGCGTGGAGACGAGTGAGGGGAGGTGATTGGCGAGTAGGGCAGCGATGGGTAAATATAGCGTCCGTTCAGCCCCGGTGAACCGCAGGGCGACGAAAGCGTCTGCGAGCGTTCCTGTAGTGACAGCTTCCTGTCGGAGAGGCTCAGTCTACCTCTGTGCTCCTGTGGTTCTGGGAAGAGCGCTTCCGGGCGGCCCACCGTGTGGGATAACAGATCACAGGAGACCATGCGGAAGGGCGGGACTGGACCTGACGACGCCGGCTCTGGCGTTTCCGAGCTGTCCATGTCCTCCACCTCCTCCTCCTCTCCGCCCTCCTGCCCTGAGCCACCACTGGGCTCGTACTCCGTCACCACAATCATGGACTCCATCTCGCTGGTACAAGAGCTCAGGCGCGTGGACGAGGAAGGGAGCACAACACAGCTCCGCAGCAGGTCAGGCAGTGGCTGATTGGGCGGCTGTACCGGGGGAATGGGCGGAGCATGGCCCAGAGCGGCAGTGGGATCAGAAGAGGGCCAGGAGGAGACACAGGGAAACATAGTGTCCTTCCCAAACACCTCTCAGTAGACCCTCCATCAAAGCCTGGCAGGAAAAACAGAGTTGGGAAATGTTAGATGTCATACAGAATGTCCGCGCTTTTGCCCAATGAATTTCCTTGACTTTGAGTATCGTTTGGGAATGGCCGTTATGATCACTTCACATTTTTATTATTATTTTTCCATGTTCTTTCCTGATATTGCCCACTCAATATTCTATATATCCAATCCCAATCAATCAATTTTACCCAATCACCAATATTTTATAATGTATTATTTTATATATTATTTTTATCATATAATTATTATACCCATTATATAAATATTTGATATTTACTGTATATAATAGTTAGTATTCAACTGTTTAGTGTCCAATTATGAATTGACGTTAAAGGAGTCATATGATGCGATTTACATTTTTCCTTTCTCTTTGGAGTGTCACAAGCTCTTGGTGCATAAAGAAGATCTGTAAAGTTGCAAAGACTAAAGTCTCAAATCCAAAGAGATATTCTTTATAAAAGTAGCCCACCCGCCTCCGCTCACTCAAGCCGGCCTCCGCTCACTCTAGCCCCCGGCCGCCGCTCTCTCTTGGCCTCCGCTCACTCTAACCCGCCACATTTCATTACACCAAATACACAAAATAATGTTCTTTTTAGCATCATCATATGACCCCTTTAATATTTTAGATATTAACTATTACATAAATATACAAATTTTAAAATATTTAAAAATATTTTTTAACATTTTTGAGTTGATCATAACTAAATTTCAATATTTTTATCCTTGATTTTCACAAGTCTGCACCTTCTTAAAAAGCCCTGACATGTATTATTGTGATGTATGCAAGTATTTTTGAATTTTGCAACTTTTTTTTTTTTTTTGGCTAATGGACCTTGAGTCTGGAGATAAAGTTGAATGACCATATCTTACAGAATGTCAGTGCACATTCAGGTGTTTTTGTAGAATTTTAAAACTGATTTTTGTGTGTTGAATTGAGGTGTGTGTATATATATTATATATCTATACACACACACACACACACACACTGTACACACACACTGTACACACACCTCCATTCAACACACAACATTTTCTAATTTACATACCTTTAAAATTCTACAAAATCTCTATTTTAAAATTCCTTGATATTCCTGGGTTTTCCCTGACATTGATTCTAGGACAAAGTCTAATGGGAACAAACCCTTGACTCAAAAAAAACATTGCTCTATATATACTCAACCTCCATTTTTGTCCTTTAGTCAGGTCATTGTTATAAAATGATATTACACTGAAAAGTGGTGTACCTGTACAGATTAAATGAGTGAATACAGCTAATAAGCTTATAAATATAAGATGCTTCAAGTAAAGCCTGCTTGAAAAGATTACATATCTCCATTCTGCTCTGAGCCCACATTTCTTATGGCCTTGATTTACATGCAAAATGCTGTAGTTTCTTTGGCATGCCGATTTTCTGAACATTGGAGACTCTGTGTGTGTGTGGGAGAGGTGTGGGTCTCGCAGAATGAGAGAAATATAAGCACGTACAATAAAAAAGACATTCATTACTCTGAGGGGTTCAGAAATGAGAACTTGTGTGGGCTGGCCCACCCCCTCCATGCGTCCTCATTTCTATCGCTCGCATTCACCGAGATCAACTGCAGCTTGGTTTTTCTTCTCTATCTCGGTTTCGTTCCCTGTCATTTCTTCATCTGCGATCGAATCTCTACTTATGTTTTTGCTGTAATATCATCTCGGGGCCCTGGCCTCCATGCGTTCTGCTGTCAAAACACCTACACAGCTGGAAGATGGTGTTCTCTCTCCCTCAATCGGGAACACTGTGGGGGAAAAAAAGCCAATTTTTCTCAGCGTTCCTCATCTTTGACCCCTCCCGCATCCATTTCCCAAGTTATTACATCCCCGACACTCATTTTCACCCTAAATCAGAATGCACTGATGAGGATTCGAGCTTTTCTAGCTAAAAATTACACTTTCTCACAAGAAAAAAAAAGTCACATTCATACTGGAAATAACCTCCATTCTCAAAAATCTCCATTCGGATCAAAAATTACATTAGAGGACAGACTCAGAATATAATAGAAACTTGGTAGGCTCTTAAATTAAACCACTTTACAATCTATCAGAACATAATACAACCACCTAGCCATGTGCTAGAAACCACGCAGAACACCTTAGAAACAATATAAGTGTCAACCTTTGTATGATTAAGCAAGCACTATTCACATTTATGCATAAAATGTAAAAATCTTGTTTATCAAACTGTCCCTCACCATCCATCACCTACTGAGAGATTCAGCCAGTAAGAGAATGAATGATGGATTTTAGATGACATTAATATGACAACAAGACAAGTAACAACCAAGTGATTGTAACGTCACGCAAGATGATATGTGCAACATCCTGTGTTGTAAACATTTTTAAAACACAAAATTACTGTTATGCTTATTATTAAACTTATAATGACACTTATAATAAACTTACATTTATGCAGTTTTTATTTAATCTTAATCTTGAGATTAAAATTGTACATTTAAATTTTACATTTATTAATAAAGAAACTGAAAGCACACTGACAAAACACTGGGGGGTGGGGATTCCGTTTTTTCCGTTTTAATTTTTCTGGACTCCTTTTTAATGGTTAAATTAAATTTTATTAATCAAAAATAGCATGTCTAATTAATTAAAATCATGAAACTTAAACAATTTAACATCAATTTATTAAAAGTTTAACATCAGAGCAGTTCTGGAGATGTTGTTCATGTATTTATGTCCTCATTAGTGAGACGGCAGATGTTAATATCACCGGAAGAGTCACATACGCTTTAGTACGAGTAGTAAACAAAACCGCGCGTCTGCGCCATTCATTAACACAGAGACACGCAGAATTCATATTTAAATAGTCTTTTTGCAGCTTAATATTTACAAATACTACTGGTGGGAGTGGGAGTGTACTCACTTGTGTGTGCGCATCAGTGCAGAGAGCGCGCGACCATGTAACGTAAAGACAGAAATGACATGCTGTCGTGTAAATAAGAAAAATAACATAAGGATATTTAGTTTGTTTAATAAAAGAACAAGGTATTGACCAGTTCTATAGGAAAGGTAACTTCTGTTGTGATCTGGCGCAATAGAGAAAATAAAATTAAAGCTGCAGTCCGTAACTTTTTTTGGTTAAAAATGATCTGAACATTAGATTCATCCGCGCTGACTCACAACCCACGCAAGCTAGATAATTCCGCACAGAGCTGCAATTCCAGGTTTTCAAACAGAGATGGCGACAAAGAGGCAAAACTTATGGACTGCAGCTTTAAATAAAATTAACTTGACCTTCAAGGGGGGGCGGGGCGCCCCCTAATATAACTCAATATAATGGCAGGAGAAACACTGCTATTCATTAAGGAAGCCTGAAACAAGTATCACAGTTTGCAACAGTTTTCAGCCTTGATAAGAAGAAATGTTTCTTGAGCACCAAATCAGCATTTTATAATGATTTCTGAATAATCGTGATATTGAGGTCTGAATTATGGTTGCTAAACATTCAGCTTTGCCATCACAGGAATAAATGACATTTTAAATGATTAAATATATATTAAAACTCAAAACAGGTATTTTACATTGTAATAATATTTCACAATATTAATGTTTTCACTGTATTTTTGGACAAATAAATGTAGCATTCTTTCCAAAACATTAAAAAATCTAACCGACCCCAAACTTTTGAATGGTAGTGTATCTAGTTATTTAAGAGCTGATTGCATTAAAAAGTGTAAACTGGTAAGAAATAGGCTATTGGTTGAAGTGATTATTGGTCAATCTCTGAAGGTAATCATTCAGTGTAGCAAAGTATCATGGTATTGACATCTGATGCCATTACTGTACCATCACAGCACTAATGGTCTACTATTATTAGTACACATTGACTAATAAAGCAGCACACAACCAAATAAATCACCTATTTTAAGATATCTGAGTAGAAGAGGCACATTTTATGATGAAATTAGATGTTTTTAATGTCAGATCCGATTTTAATCACTGGTCTGTCTCTGGTGTGGACGCCGTTAGTGACTTCCTGTCTACCTCAATGACAAAGAGACAGCCCAGCTGAGTACAGAGCGGCCAGGCATGTCCGACCCATTTGTCAGCTCAGGTGCTGATGGGGGGATGATGAAAGTGTGCAGAAAGTCAAAGGGATTGATGTGTCATTATCTAGTCCGAGCGTCAGGCAACTATCTGAAACTCATGCGGCAGTATTACAGGTACCTTGCAAGCATCTAAAATACCCAGAGTATCTCGTCCTCTTTTCAAGAACAGAAAATTCACGGTAGATGTGGCCTGACTGCAATGGTAGGCTGAGCTATTTTAATCTGAGAGCAGTTTCCACATTCTTCTGTGACCTACTTCGATCTTTTGGATTGCAAACCAAGTGTTTCTCCTTCACGTGCCCAACCTACCAAATCTCATTTGTTATGGAGACTCGGACTCACAAGCAAACAATCCTTGGACCCCCACAGACCACATGTATAACAAACTGGGTCTACATTAAAGGGTTTCCACAAAGGACAACATCAAATGCATAAAAAGACCCACCGCTTTCAGTCAAGCCCTTACCCAAGATGAACTCCAGCAAGAAACCAATTTTACCCTAGAAACAAACAGATGCAGCCTTACACCAAATGACTTTACACTCTCTAGTTGTATTTATTATGGTGAGATGCACAGGGCATCCACGGGGAAAGGGGTCCACAGAGGATTGACCGTATGGGACCATCTGGAGTGTTCAGCATTCTTCGAAACATTAGCTTTAACAGGGAAAACCAAAGTACTAATCTGTGGACAAGAGGAAGCAGGAATAATCTACACTGACTTAATGCTAACCTAGCATGTTGTACCTAACACTTTAAAGACAAGTTTTGGGTTCAAAACGAGTTAAGCTCTCCCAAAACCATCTGTGGGGTGCTGTCGATCTCCACAGACAATGATTTTGGCTTTACAATAATACCCCAATATACAGCACTTCAAGCGAA